TGTTTTAGTAATGTTGGTGTTTATCACTGTGTCAATGTGATTCTTCTATTGAGGAGTACAGTCTAAACAAACCCCCAAGTTTTATAGAAATAGTTATATGAAATCTCCAGTACTCATATCAAATTTAACTTGGTTTTAAAATTTTAACGACATTCTAAAAAATTATTTTAATACTCTAGTCGCTAGTAATGTAAGGGGTCTCAGTCACACATCAATAGGTAAGGGCAGTATCAGGTCTCAGGAGTTCTTTCACTTTTCACTACTTAGGTTCATATCATGGCACTGTTCTCTTCGAACAGTATTATTCCCACATGGATCACATCACTGGATAGCTCTCAAGGTCACAACATTTTAAATATTATCACTGCACTACCCAGAAACTGATAATATCCTGCAGTGGTAGATAGAGCCCATGTTCCTTCCATTCCCCTTTTTATTGGTTCCAGTTTGCTCAGGCTCAAACTCTTCTTTGCCTTTGTAAAGGAAAAAGTATGTATGAAGGAGTTTCACATACTAGCCATTTAGATTCTTGAATATGGATGCTACATATTGCATACTCCTTTACTTTATCCTCCACTTGGAGGTCATCAATGTCTCATGCCAGAGTAACCTCACAGTAATTATAACAACTAGTTACTAGCAACAAGACAAGAATAAAGAAGTGGAGTGGTATGTGATTGCTGCCAGTTGTAAGGGTCTGTATGCTTCATCTGAGGCACAAATGCTCTGATGGCCTATGAAACAAGAAGCCAGTCTCACCAGAAGTTGGCAAGTAAAAGAAAGTAATAATAGTGAATAATTCTCCCTACGCAAACCCTATGATAGTCACACTATGTTACTTTCTTTCTTGGTGAAGCAGGTAAACAGCAGTAACCTCAGTTACCTTAGACATTTGCTTATTTCTCTCCAGGTAAATTCTAATGCTGCCAAAATCTGTGCATTTCTTTTCCTCCCCAACATATTAAAAAGGAAACTGGTCAGAGACATTTCACAATGGCTGGTTGAAAGGTTTCCTGTAAAATAAGAAACTGCTTTTTAAGTTGATTTTTAATTTGCTGTTGTTGAAATTTGATACTAAGTCTGTTTTTCGAGTAATTGGATCCTCTCACTTCAGGTACAGAATGGAGATCTAGACAAACGTAACTAAGCTTTTGCCCAGTTTTCCGGAAATCAAACCTGAGAGAGTAAGTCTCAGTTTAAGATATTCTGCTATTCTGTTTTCAACCAGTTCTATTATTGTTTCTCAACCTTATAAAATAAATACAATAAAATGCTCCAAAACTAAAGAGTGAGGAACAAGCTGCTGAAAAAAATCCAAGGTTTTAACAACTGTTTATTAAACGGACAAACAACAAAAAATACTGTTACTCCATTAAGCAGTTTTTCTTACATTAACCCCATATTTGAGTTAGCATGGGCTATTCCTTATAGATGAGTGTTTTTGAAAGACTTGGGCAACATTTTTCACTCTAGTTTGTGAACACCTGTCTTCTGCTGAGTTTCTAAAAGGCTTCAGAAAGAGTAAGCAAGAAACTGAAGTCTACATGTCAGCAGAATTGATTTGCTATATAAGGATCCACAACTTCATTGCAAACTTGTCTGAGGCCTGAAAAATCCAAAAGATTGTTACTGTAAGGTTTAATCTCTTTTTAAAGTAGCTATCAAACATTATCTAATAAGTTACTTTAAGAATCTAATTAAATATTAACCTTCTCTTTATTTAAAGTTAGCAACATTGCAGCTAATGTTTACCTTCACCTGACTGTAGGAATGCTTTTACAGTTTCACAGAAATGGCAATTTGGCTGTGCAAAGTAATACAGAAGGTTTTGGGAGATAGTTGTTTCTTAACAGACTGAGTAAAACTTCATGTGACTGGCTATATATTTACTATTAATGCCTCTGTTACTTCAGCAGTGGAGCTGAAGTAACTCTGTCTACACTTATCAGTGCCTAAGGCAAACTCCCTATTTGCAAACTTCAGATGGTCAATGAAGACACAATATTAATACTTTAATTCCAGACTTAAACCTTTGCTTCCAAAGAAGATGCAGTAATTTTATGGTGTCTTTATTAAGCTTAAATTTGTGTGCCAGGCTAATTACTTTGCTAAAGAATTCATCTACTGAAATGTGAGATAGATAAGAATTTCTTGATTTTTATTATTCAACAAGGAAACATGGTTACCCTTATGTTTTCCACAATGCCTGAGAATCCTTTCCACTTTTCTACACATTAAACATTCTTGGCATCATAATCCCTGATATTAACTTGTCTTATAGATATTCTATTTGATTTGTAAAGGTCACTGTCTTTTTAGCATTTAAACACTGCTATAAGTCAGCTTTTTACTTACATTTAGGTCTTTTATTAATCTAATTTTATTTTAACTAAGAAAAAAAGTCAAAAAAGTGATTGCTGTAGTTAATTATAATGAAAGAATATTTCATTGGTGAGAATTAAAGTCATACAACTAAGGTATAAATAGGTCTGCTCCCTATTGATTTTGATGAAAGTTATAAATCAAGGTAATTCTGAGTCTAATGGGGGTATAAAACCAAAGTCTAATGTTAACCAAAGTCTAATGTTCCCCAAAGAAAACTTGAACCAAAAAAATCTGCTGAAAATACAAGAACAATCCTGTAATTTTAATCTAACACAGAAGACCAGCCTGGTATAGTAAACTTGTGTATTAGAAAAAACACATTTCAATAAAGCAGTATTGTTAGCACCACCCTAACTTACACTAAATTACAGACTGAAAAACAGCACCTTCTTTCCAAAGCTTGAAGGAAGGTCTCTCTCGTGATAAACTAAAACAGATACAGTATCTTGTAAACAACAAACGTTGAATCAAATATACACTGGTGGATAAAACTATTTCAGGATTTCAGGAATTTCTCCAGAATGCAGCATATTCAAGTAAAACAAACACCTAAACACATTTTTGCCCATACTTGACAAACCAAACTCCTTAGTATGAAGTTTACACAACTATTTCACTTATTTCAAAGACACTTCACAGCCTGATTACACGTGTCTGCTGAAAATACTCCTTGAGGAAGAAAGATTTGCAGCTGATGAACTAAAAATGTTTATTAGCTGAGGAAGCTGCTAACTTGAATATTGGTTGAAATGCCAGCTCTCTAAGTGAGCAGATAGTATTAACATGTTGCATCCAATTGGTAAAATGTTTCCGTATGAGAAAGCTGACATGCTTTGAACAAGCTTTATTCTTCCCTTGCAATTTAAAGTTGAGAAAAGCTCTGATCATAAAAGCAGAATTTTTTCAAAGTATCTATTTAGGATCACAATCTGTGTCCAAGAGCATAGCTCTGAAAATGTTATCTGAAGTACATACTTAAGAAATTCACTTACCAGAAATCAATTTAACATTGGCATAACAATTTTTTTTTCCCTACCAAAGGCAAAATCTTTGCAACAAAGATAAAATTTAAAGTCTTCCCAGCCAAAACACCATTTAAACATTGTACACAAAATTAATACAAATACACCTTCAGCAATTATCAGGCACTTTCTGAACTACAGCTCAAATGGGATATTGTGAATACGAGTTGGTGAAACTATAGGATCTCCCTTTTGAGTGTTTGCATGATCAGGCTTTTAAATGTTGTTATTTTGTTGTCCACATAAGTCTGAAGTAAGTTCTAGTACTACAGTACCAGAATTTAAAAAAAAAAGAGTAATTTATAGTCAACCAGTGTTATGCCACTGTAAGTTTTCAAATGAGTTTTGTAAAATCCTACTATAGAGTCCAGGGCCCTTTTTTAGAAACAGATCTAAAACCTCTCTAAAATGGCAATCTAAACTTTCTGCTCCATCACAAGCTGTTGTAAGTGGGCTCACAGAAACTAAAAAGCAAGACGCTCCCCTCCAAATTGTTGAATGATGTAACTGAAGACTAGAAATGGCATTCAGATATTTTTTCAACAGTAAGTATGACTCTATGATTAGTAAAAACACACAGTGGAATTCTTGTCCGGACTTACGTTATCGCAAACTGTATGGCATGAATTCTACTGGCAAGTGTTGCATCACATGGTCAAGGAGTAGTCAGCTCACAATTTGCATGTGTAATTTACATGTTTCCACATGCAATTAAAAAAAAAAAAGTCTGAGCTTTTAGTAAGGTTTTGCAGGAGAGATCACAAAATATCCATTGGCTAACATCAAGTGACTTGGTGCTTTCAGTTCAGTTCTTCAGTACAGCGGTGTCCAAATCATAAACTCAAATTTTGAAGGATTTCCATGTAATCAGCATATTGTCTAAGACCTTTTACCATCCAGTTCCTGATAAGCAGATATTTAAATAATATCCTAAATAACAAGTATAACAAGGGTAGTGAGAGACAGCTCCGTCTTCCTTTTACAGTAACTGTGAACAGACATTACTTCCCAGTTTCAACAGATGGCTGAACATGCGCCCCACCCCCCTTTTCTTTTAAACAAGTTACTCGCAGACTTTTAAATTACCACCAAGACCGATAGCTTTACGCATAGGTACATATAGGCCAGGCAGGACAAGCCGGAGCAGACACTTTTAGTGCCAGTGGATCTCGCTGTGGTGGAACAGCTGCGCCTGCCTTCAGCCTCTGTCCTCGTGATGAGAAACCGGCTCAACGTCCCTCCTCCGCCCCCTCGCCTCGAGGGGTGGACACAGGACAAGGACAGCCCCACACATCTGGAGAAGAGACCTATCTCATCTTCTGGTGCCAGCCAGCAGACAAACTGCCGACGGCAGGGTCTGTAAGGCACGGATGTGAAGGAGAAGGGACTCCCGTGCTTTGGGCAAAGGGCTCGTATTTGAGGGCGGCGTATGTCGGACCGCCCGCGCCCTGCCGAGGCAGAGAGGGATATCCGCCTGCGTCCACAGACGGCCGGCCGGGGTGGGAGCGGGCCCACCAGGGAGGCGCCGGCCTGAGAAGAACGAGAAGGGGCGTGCGGCCGGCGTCGCCCCGCTCTCGGCCTCTTACCACGTACCATCTCGATGATCTTGGTCTTCCGACCCGTCTTCTTCTTCATGGTGAAGATGTACTGGGCCAGCACCACCCCGGCGACCAGGGCGCACACGCTGGCGCTGGCCACCGCTCCCATCTTCGCCACGGCGGTCCTGTCCATGGTAGCTCCCCGGGGCAAGCCAAGGCGCCGAGAGCCGCTGCGGGGAAGCAGGACCGCCCCCTCGTCGCTGAAGGAGGGGCGGGGATGGCGAAGTGTGTGCGTTCTCCTCAGCGCCGGCCCGAGCCGGGTCCACACCGGCGGCCAGACCCGGCAAGTCGGCAACGACGGCGCCGCGCACCGCCCGCCGC